TATTTCATGATCCATAAATCAGGAACAATTAAATTTTCCAGTGAAAAAGGAAACCAAATAACACATTTCAGGTAACCATAGTTCATAAACCAGTAGATTCCATGATCCATAAATCAGGAACGATTATATTTTTCCAGTGAAAATAGGTAACCAGATGACACATATCATGTAGCTATAGTTAAGTTAAAAGTAAATCAAAACATCAGTAAATTCGTAATTTTAGAAAAACACATTTTAAAATAGGTAAAAAAATTACATGTCACATATTGAACACCCTAGAGGATCCAATTATTCTTCATAAGTACTTGGTATTTATCAGATTGGGAACCATGAAACTTTTATAAATTAATAGGATTTCAAAATCAAGATCTCTATAAAAAAGGGTATGATAATTGACAGATTCATCAGTCATTCGGTTATTTTTGGAGGCAATTGATCGTTACCATGAAGGAAAAACGTATAACTTCTGTAGATTTGACGGAATTCATATTCGAGGTCCCTATAAAAGGGTTCATTCATTAGCATATCTAGTAAACATTTGGAAATTGATGTTTCAAAAATTATTTAAGATTCGAGTGTATTAAATAGGTACTCAGGAACCTTTACATCAGAATTTTTGAAGATCTAGATATAACATGAGTGTTCCCATTATTCAGGCAAACATGGATATTTTGGACATTTTAATTTCCGATGGATTCTTAATAGCTTAATCTAATAAAGGTGAAACGATGATTCATGTATTTAAGATTCATGTCGATTTATCAGTATATGTCAATCAGTCAAATCGATGCGTTTCAAGGATATTCACACTTTAATATTGACAACTCTCGTAAAACTGATCATTTTCAGAATCATCATTGAATGGATATTAGGGAGACTAACATGTATTCAAATGATATTTATTTCATTTTTGTATTGTGATGATATCAAGAAATGTTTACGTGCTTGATTCGTGGTTCAAAACCCTCAAAGGTGATACAACATATATAAGTTCATCAACGTTTTCAGACTTGTCCAAATCATCCGCTTAATTCTAGGTCATTGAGGTTACTTAGGTCAATTAGAATTCAAGTTTATCCTGGTCACTTCGGAGTTTCCAGAATAATTTAGTCATTTCCATAATTCAGATACATACAATACTTCTATTTAGTTTAACTTATTAATATAATATAGTCATTTGAATATCAGAGATTATTTTAGTTATTTCACAGCTCGATGACATTTCGGTAATTCTCTTCAATCCAACCATGTGCACTTTTACTGATAATTGGTCAAGTATGTCCTTTTTGGATTATTTCTCACCTTCAGGTGTAAATCTTGGTCTTTTTACAATGCAAGGGCATTTTTTGTAATTTTACTCCATAGAGCCATTTTTTGTAATTTCTTAACCAAATTTTCTTGTCATTTAACCTTTAAAGTAATTAATCAGAATTTTTGGGTCATGAGGTCAATTTATTTACTAATTAATCATTGAACTTAAAATTTATTTTAAACCGGTCTTCTAATTTCTTGTGTGAGCCATTTGAGTCTTATACAATTTAATTACTTTTTATCATATTTGGAACGAGTTTAGAAATATATTAGTTACACACATGTAATCAAACTTATTTATCCATGCAACAGCTAATGCCAGCATGTTCCATAAAGCATACATAGGGTAGTAATGTATTACCTCGATTTCTGTGACCCACGAATCGAACATTTAAACTCCATTCGATCGCCCTCAAACTTTAATTCCACGTTCCATAATGTCTCAGATACATAAAAAATGAATTTACGAAAGAAGTTGAACTTAATTAAAAAAAAACCAATTTGAACCCGAAGATAAAAAACTAAAAATGGACTTACCGAGTGTGAATTTTGTAAAACAAACTTCAGAATCAGACTCATGACGTCAAAAAATAAAATAAAATATGACTTTTCAAAAAATGTGACTTTTCGGTCAAAGTCAACTCTAGTAAAAGCAAACAGGTAGTCAAAGTCAACGGGTCAGACTCGATCGAGTTGACTCAGTGCGAGTTGACTCAGTCAGGGAGTTGACTCCGTGGGCCGGTTTGGTTCAAAACGATTCGACTTAAACAGGCTGATCCAATCCGGTCCAGTTGTTCCAAAAAATTCCTTGCTTACCGAGAAGTCCCACGCGCAATGGTGGCTCACGAACATCTACACATCATCATCAAGCTAAACCAACTCAAAGATTAATTAAAACCATGCCAAAACTGAAAGAAAATTAACCAAACAATATTCCCGAGCTTACCCACGGTCACCGGTGATAGAACAACGGTGTGGCGATACCATTGGCTGGGTTTTGTTCGGACTTGGATGGGGAGTCCAATGGCTATGGTGGTGAGGCTCACCGGCGGTTGGAACGACCGAAATCGGAAGAGAAGCGACGATGACGAAATGGATTTCCTCTCTTCAATTAACAATGTTCAACGGTCTATTGGGGTCGTTGACGGCTGGGGACTGGTCGCCAGTCACATTGGTGGCGACGGAGAGCGACAAAGGCGGTCGGACCGGAGCGAATCACGGAGGAGAGCGGTGGTTAGGGTTGGGGTATAAAATTTTGGTCTTGGGATTTGGGAATTATAGGGGATAGTTTTCGATAACTTATTTTTCACTGTCAAGAAAAAATGGGAAAATTTAGGGTTAAGTCCATAAACTTCCCAAAGTTTCAAAACCGAGTTGCAAGTGTCTAAAACTTGTAATTTAGTCCCTTAAATTTACTTAAATACTTTGAAATTCTAAATTTTCTTTTATTATTATTTGCCCCAAAAATTGGGGTGTGACAATTATCTTCCCCTTAAAAGAATTTTTCCTCGAAATTCACCCAAGTCGTATAATCGTAGAAATAAAACTTTCCTCAATTATACAATATCTCCATGTAGCTTTTACAAGATTACGATTCATCTACTAGACTTTAACATACTGTTTATGCACATATCTCTTATTTGTCAAAATTCAGAATCTAAGCATAATTCTCCTCGTAGAACCAAACTTACCTTAATTACCAATCCTTAATCAGATTATCACTTACTTACTTTCAGTGCAATATGCAAACATAAATGTTTTCTTTTATACGAGTAGCATTACCTAGAGACTTGCACTTTTCCTAAGTATTCGAACATTTTCTTTAGTCTCATACAGGTGAGGTACAAAACTCATCACTTATTGGGATTCAAACTCATAAAATTGGAGCAAAAATAATTTCCAAAACTTATTCAATTCAGTACATCAGTGCAGAATTTTAGGGGGAGGACACCTTGTTAATGCTTGGACCAACTACCTTGCTCTTCAATCCACTTGAGTAGTAATTCTTAATATCGAAACTTCACTTATAAGGTTTGACTACGAGCTTACCATCACAAAACGTTTGGGGAGTAACAAAACTCAAATTCACAGAAATCATGTCAAAATTCTCGAACGAAAAATCTCCCACATTACTTGCGGAGAAATCAGGTCAAATTCATTTATAAATTAGTAATAAAATGTAGAAATTAAATACTAGAATCTAATTGTTTAATTCTGAATTTGATAAAGATTTTGTAAAATGTTGATCATGACTTAATTTATAAAATTTCAAAATTAAAAGACTTACAAAGTAATTTATTACAATAAACGGCCTACCAAAGCTTTTAGCGAGTTTGTCTGTAGAAGCAACTAGAAGAAGAATAAGCAGCATTGGTGAATTTGGTGATAAAGATGAGATTTTCGAAAAGGATAAATCTAGAAGAAGAATAAGCAGCTTTTATATTTGAATTTAGCAATTTCTTTTATTAATTCAATTTTTTATTCATATTAATATTTAAATTAACTTTTTTAATTTTTTTTTAAAGAGCTAAATAAAAGTTGACGTCATATAATTTAATTATAAAAATACCAATAAATTAGTTTACCTTTTTTAAAATAAAATTTACAACAAATATTTAAAATGAATGGTGCTATAATTATGGTTTTTAATGGTGACAATTATGACTAATTAGCACAATGATGGGAGGTGAATATTAAATAAACAAATAAAATGTCATAGGCTTTGGAGCTACCAAACTTTATGGTTGTGATGAAAGACTATATAACCTAAAAAATAGAGGGGTCTCACTAAAAGGTAATTTGGTCCCCCAATAAACAAATTGCAAATGCTTTAATTAATTAATTTGTTTTGAGCCACATGCCCTTGTTCAAACTAAAGTAAAATATTGACCCGATTTTTGTTTTTAAATTTAAATAGTAACGTATATCTTATTAATTTTTTTTATCATATAATACTCTATTTAAACACTATAATTGTACTTGAAGACCGAAGTTGAAACTGAAAAACGAGTTTTAAATTTTAAGATTTGATTTCGAGCATAATAATCTATGAAATTGAACTCATTGAATGGTCTCAAGGAGTATTATTCTTTTTTGAGATCTTAAAGTTTAAATAATTATGTAGGCAAGATATACTTACATTGTCAATTACTATAAAAAATTTAAAACGAATATTACATTGTGATCAACTCTGTTTAAAAAAACAATCTATGAACTTCAACACATTCTTGCTAAATGTAGTTGAAAACCACAATTTGAATTGATAATAGATTTTTATATTTCCCAATTTTCAAGCAAGTTGTTTCTAAACTATTTTACATTGGTTGCTCTCATCACTGACAACATTGTAGATTCAAACCATTAACTGGTATAACGATTAAAAGGTCCAATTCTTTTATTATTCCATGTACTTTACCTAAGTTGTGAATTTAGTCCATGTATTCCATTTTAGTCATTTTTTAAACCTTGTACAAAATTTGAAACTTTAGCCTTGATCTCAACAATTGTTATTGTTATTCTTCAAAGCTCTAAGAAACAAGCTACCGAGAACCATCAAATAGCATCAGCTAGTAAATCATTTGGCTCTGAAGAAACTTAAAAGTCTCTTAGCAAATCAATCATGCAATTCAAAGCCTTACTGTTCATTACACTATCCGATGTTCAGGAAGAATAATCTATAGTTATGTTACTTCAAAGAACAAAAATGTCGATTAACGCACAATTGAAGGCAAATATATTAGGTTCAAACGTAAGCCAAACGAAATGGCATCCGATCAATAAAAATAACTTCAACATAGTTCACCCAAAAACTGGAACATGATAGTCACCGCCAAAAGAGTTTTCCTTCCTAAGCTTAGAGACGAGACTAGTTTTAAAAGGCTAACCAACTACTGCTGTCGAACTTCGGTTTTCTTCTTCTGCCAAAGCCTGTCGAGAGCACTGTCAGCATCACCCTGCAATGTTGAACAAAATCAATCAGCAGCTGAATAGGATATAACAAGATATCTCAATAAAGAACCAAGGGAATCAATACAACATGCTCGTGCGGAATCTAAGAACAACTTCCTATATGCATCAATCAGGACCCTGTTCCAATAAGCATACAACCAAACATATATGGTAGCATAGTCTCTTCCATGTCTTGAAACATTTATGCAGTTCAAGCGATTAAATTTTATCGGAAACATTCTTAAAGCCAATGTTCTCTCCAAATGAACACGAAGAGTGAAATGAGGTAGTAAAATAACCTTACAATACCTCTTGAATATCTCGGGTGTTAACATGAAAATGCAACCACAAACATACCATTAACAAAGCAAGATACTCGGATTACAACTTTTACCAGGATTTGAAGATAAACACAAGTACATGACATAAATGTATGAGAATGCACTCGAACCATAAACCATCACAGAAATATAATGAACACCGATGAACATATGTAGTAGCATATTGTCCCTTCCATGTCTTGAAACATGAACTTCAACTACCCTGTCCTTAAGCAGTTCCAGCAATTATATTTTGATAGAAAACATTCTTCAAATGAACATGAAGAGTGAAATGACTACCACCATACCATTAAAACATATCTAAAATATTTCGGGTGTCAACATGAAAATGCATCCACAAACATACAATTAACTAAACAAGATACTCAGATTACATTTTTACCAGGATGTGAAGATAAACACGAGTGTATGAAATATGAGAATGCGATCGAACCATAAACCATCACAGAAATATAATGAACACCAATGAACATTACAGCATCCTCAACAATCAGCAGGACAGAGTAGAAAAACAAAACGAACCTGGGCACGGACAAATCCACAAAGAGCAAAAGTGGAGAATGTGCCAGTGTATCTGCCAAGCTCATCCAAATGTCCAACGTTGATTTGAACGGAAGCATGATCCTTCGAGGTGATGAGCCTGTTGGTGGCGGAACTGCAACAATAACAACATATATATAACTTCCATTGTAAACAACATAATGAAAAACAAAACATTATCGAACATGATGGGGCGAACGAGGTACCATTTCCTGGGAATGTATAGATCCATGTTTTGACCTTCTTCGTTCTGCATCTTTGCGGATTGATTGATCGAACGAACAAAAAACTCAAATCACCTAATTTGAAACCAGTTTATGTTCATCAAAAAGCGAGTAACAAAAAACGAAAATCTAACTGGATTTTAACTTCAATCCCTTAAACATAAAAATGCTAATTCAAACACTGAAATGACTCAAACAAACATGTAGTAAGAACTCAAATCCAGATTTAATCTTGATTTTATTTAAAAAAAACGAAATTCAAGAGAGGAGAGGCGCACCTGGAAGAGAGAGAAGGGCGGCACTTGCTTTTAGGTAGGTTATTTGTTTGCGCGCTTTATATGTTGAAGGGAGAAACCCTAATTCTTTTTATTTATTTATTTTTTCTGATAATTATTTGGAAAAATACCGAGGTTAAAAACGATGGGTTGAACTTAGCACGGGCTAGGGCAAACAGATTTATTTCAACATTGGCCCAATGTGGGGGAAACCCTAAATACTTTTCCCGCCAAACCCAAGTCAGAATTCGCTCTCTTTCCGAGTCTCGACTCAAGTTCACCGCAGAGTCTGCATTTTCAAATTTCTCATACAGTCAAACTCGCAGTTTAAAGAAAAAAATAGAGGCGATGGAGCTGAGTCTAAGCGACAACGCTCTCAAAACCTTTAGTCGTTTGATCACGTGCCTCGCACGTGTAGGAAACGAGCTCGACTTCAAAGCTTCTTCTTCTCAGGTACTACTTCCTACTTCCGAATTTAATCTGTTTAATTCAACTGTTTCATTCGCAAGTAATTGGAGTTAAGTGATTTCTTAATTAGATTAAGCATTAGAATTAAGGTTTTGAAGGAGCTTAAGTTCTGATTTACAGACTGTTTGACGATTAGGGAAGTGAACTGAAATCATAGGCTATCGAAGTTTTTCGTGATTGGATTCAGATATAGTTTGATTCGTTCTTTATGCAAAAGATTTACAAAAAAGAAAGAAAGATAGATCAAAGTGGTTTCAAATGACGTTTTGTTTTCAGTTGCTGTACGGCGAAGTAGTGAAAAGGATATATTCAGTCTTGTTTGTAAGATATTTCTCGGCAGCCAAACAGAATATTATAATACATAGTCTATATTTCGGGATTTTCATCCATATTTTTCCCGCAAATTGACTGACTGAAACCTTGGCAATATTTGCAGCTTGCACTTCATACACTCAATTCTTCAAGTTCAACCTACCAATCTGTTACGTTTTAGCCAAACTTCTTTGATGTATATAGAATTTCCGGTACTCAAGTGCAGTGCAGTGTGCTTTTGAAGGTATAATTTTGTTTTTCACTGCTTCTATAAACATTTTTTTTGACGGATCGTGTAAGGTAGTGTAACAACCCGAAAATTTCAAAATAATATTTAATTGGGAATTGAGGTTTTAATTGTGAAAATTGGTAGATTTTTGGGTATTAAATTAGAAGTTTTTAAAACTTGAAGTTTGTTTTAGAGTTAAAGAAAATTCAGGGATCAAACCCTAAATTTACTCTAAAATGTTAGGTATGGGTTGTTATATACGTGAATTGGTTTCTGAAAAATCAGAAACCAATTCCTCCCAAATTCCCTCTCCCAACCTCAACTTCCGACGACGATCCCGACGCCGTTTGAATTCCGATCGTTATTTTAAAACTATCATCGTGTTCATCATCGAGCGAGGAATAAATCCTTCAATTTAATTGAAGCGAAACGTTGCCAAACGTCGTGAATTTCGAGTCAAAACATCGACGTTTTTTTTAGCCTAATCGCCTAGAAAATCTTAAATTCATCGCCGATCGTTGCTCCGTTTACGACACCTCCCGCACCATCGTGTTCCTTGTGTCGTTTCGAGTCCGCCGGTGTTATCCTCGATCTCCGTTGACGGCGGCGCGTGGGGAGGTGGATCAATCAAAGATTCGGCCGAGTCAAAATCGAGCTCTCCGTCGTTCAAAAATTTGAACCGATATTTGTAAGTATCTCGAAATCGCTCAAAATAATTTTTAGAAATTTTTCCGTGATTTTTAGAGCCCCGGAAGACGTCGCACGCGCCACACGCGCTGTCGCAGTCGAGTGAACGCTGGAAACCGGTTTAATCGGTTTGGACCGATTTGACCGGTCATTACCCGTTGACCCGACCCGTTGACCCGACCGGACCGTTGACCGTTGACCGGTGCTATTCTGAGAATTAATTCAATTTTGATGTTATTCTGAGAATTAATTCAAAATGGGTGATATTTTGGTAATTTTTTGGGAAAAAGTGATATTTTAAGAATTAATTCAAAATTGGTGCTATTTTGGTAATTAATTCAAAAAGGGTGCTATTTTGGTAATTATTAAAAAAAAGTGTTATTTGTGTAAAATGTTTGATAATTTGTTGACCTCTTTTGACCAGAACTTTGACCGGCTTTGACCGGTTATTAAACGATCGTTAATCTTTTTCAAAAATACCTATCCTGACAGTTTTCGACGTCCCGAATCCGTTTATGGGGTCCGTTTCGCTAAATTCAAACTCGAAAGTCTCCAAATCGTCAGTCAAACCCGTTGACTTTAATTTGGACCAAGAATTCGAAATTTCGGAAGGTCATACTTTATGTTTTTCGACGTCCTGAATTTGATTCCGAAGTCCGTTTTGCCAAATTCTGAATCGAGCTTGTGAACCCAAAAAGGCTTAGTATTTTAGTATTTTGATTATTTATTTGAGATATGGTTAAGGAATTGATTAAATAAGATATTTTATGAAGGTACTCGTGTTTCACCTGAGCAAGGATCAATTAAGTCCGGTGTTATCCGTTCGTCAGATCAGTCCAAACCGCGTAATACAAGAATTACCCGTAGGTTTTCGTATATTATTTAAGTAAAGATTAAGATTATTTTTATTAGAATTCCAATATGGATTTTTCCAATTCGTAGGATCTAGCGCTGCAGCAGAGCGTGATCGACAGACCCAGTAATAGGCTTCCCTATCTGATTTCTCAAACTGTTACAGGTGTGTTTCCTAACAGTATTATATTACTGATTTAAATAATTTATCTGAATACCGAGTATTTGATATTTGATTTACTGTATATTTTGATATAATTTCTGAATTAAGGTATTTCATATCGATTTCTGAGATCTGCTTATCTGATATCTGAATTATTAATTTGAATTCTGATTTCCGTATTTCTGCATATGGTTTCTAAGTATGAAATATTTGTTATGTTTTAAGTGATTAATCATTGTTTTCAATTGAATACATTCATTGTCATTTGGGGGTATTGTTGAAGGAAGATTATCTGCAGACTTCTCAGCTTTGTGCTCAGGGTCTAAATGGCATGTGCGGTTGGGTGTATGGTTCTGGGGAACCTACACAACTATGATGTGAACGGATGGGGGTAGTGTTCATGTTTAAAAAAAAATAAAAACATGTTGCATAAACCGATTTCATTGAAAGATTTTATCTGTATGTTTTTCTTATATACTGTATGGAGCACACTGAGCTTTTTAGCTCATTCTGTAGTTTTTACCCTTTTTCAGATAGTAGCAGACCATAAGCTAGCAGATTTGGCATCAGGGGAAATCAACTACTTATTTTGTACGAACATATATTTCTATATGTTTTTCAGTTATGTTTGGTGACATTTATTTGCTATAATTTTAGACATATCTGTATTATTAATATTTTGTTCTATATTATATTTAATGTTCTATAAGTTATATATATATATATATGTATAAAACTCTGAATGGGATATGTGACCACTTAGGTTTGAGTCTATCTTACAGACTGGGTCTGGGGGGTTACAGGTAGAATATCAAGTGACTTTGTATTTTTAGGCTGTTTGCTCTGTTTTTAGGACACCTATTGCAAGTATTGATAACTTGACTGTGAAATTGGCTGGTCCTGATGCGCCGAAAATACAGTGGGCCTTGGCATGCCATAGCAGTAAAGTGCTTATTTGATTTTCTGCTGCATTTTTCTTCCATCTTCGAATACGGGATCGGGAATGAGATGAAAGGTTTCTCATGTATGTATATACTCTATTCAATTTGCTATAATTCTGAGTATGGAAGCTTTCACCATTCTATGCAGTTAGTTTTAGCATTGGAATGCAATCAATTTATTGTGTTTTACATGTACCTTTGTGTATACAAGTTCAATTTTATGCTTACTAATCCAGTCACAAAGCCAAAATAAGTACTTGAAATCGGATTCGTTCTGGGAAGATTTGAAAATCTAGTTTTTTTGCTTATTGTGGCATTTATGAGAACTCGGGAACGGCCACACGGAAGAGTCCTCTAACGTTATATTGTACATAAATGGATTTATTTTGGTTTTAAACATTTTCTTCTTATATGCTTGGCAGGTATGAAAAAATCATATTGGATTACCTGCAATGCTGAACCTGACATACAACACTTGTCTCTTGATAGAAGAAGATTTCCAAGTAACTTGGTAGTTAGGCCTCGTGATCTAAATCGATTGCTGGCTAATTTTCAATAATCACTTCAGGAAATTACCATCATTGCAACAGAGCCGATGTCCTTACCTTCTGATGCTGCAAATGAAATAGGTGGAAAAGCTGTTGAGCTTAGAAGTTATATAGATCCAACTAAAGGTACCCAACTATTTTGTTTTTTTTTTCTTTTCTATTTCACCTGAAAATGGAATTTATTATTTCATTTATCTGTGCAGAGAATGATTCCTCATTGCACACTCAACTCTGGATAGATCCTTCAGAAGAGTTTGTGCAGTATACTCACACTGGAGATCCTGTAGATGTTACTTTTAGTATGAAGGAATTAAAGGTATCGAATCTTGATCCAGAGAGTAGATTTTGCAGCAACTTCATTATCTTTGGTTCATAAATCCAACTTAAACGTGGTAATCTTTATTCTACGGTCGATCCTTGACGTAAACATGAGTTGTTGCAAATGTTTTTGCACTATGTTATCTGAAAAGGAAAACTGAAACGCAGGCATTCCTGACTTTTTGTGAAGGCTGCGAGGTTGACGTACACTTGTTTCTTGACAAAGCTGGCGAGTATGATATTCTTCTAGTAATTTTTGTTCTCCATGCATTTGATGAACATTAGAAATCTGTTTTTTGAAACTCATAGGACAATTTATTTTTGAATTGTTAAATATTTCACATCGTCAAGTGATTATGACATAACATTTGTGATTCAGATTGGTAGTTTTGTTGTGCGGCGAGGAAACCTAAGGCAAATTTGTGGCGGGTTTGAATCTAAAATGTTACCATGTCTATTATAAACAGTTACACCATTCGTAAAAAATTTCGATTGCAACCGAGAATATTACATTACGCGGGTTTTAACCAAAAATGCTTCAATGTCTAGTCTAAAAAGTTAAACAATTGGTAATAATTTTGGTTACAACAGAGAATGTTACATGAGTTTATTGACGGTAACTTTTTATGTTGCAACCAGAGTAGTTATGTAATTTATATGATTTGTTATGGAGAACATAATATTTTTGGTTTCAATCTAAAATGTTACCCAGTTTACACTAAAGAGTTACACTTGGTATATTTTTCGGTTACAATCGACTTCAACCATTTATTAACTTTATATTAACCGGTTGTGTTTTAGACTCCCTGATTCAGATAGGCCTTATCTTATATCAAGTCTGTGTCATCTGTTTTTGCTGCATCTCTGCTTCTAATACCAACTGTTTGCTATAAAATAGCTATCTGAATCAAATAAACTATTGTTAGGATTGTAGAAACTTAACCGAGAAAGAGTGCGAAAAATTTAACCAATTGTTCAAATGGGGACAATGCAAAGTGCATTAATACGCAAATAAATCCTTGCTTTTATTGGTCTTGCCCACTTGCTAATGTACTATTATCACATTAAGCAAGAATATGTGTTTGATCTTGAATAGATGTTTATTCGGTAACAGGCCGATTTTATTGGCACCAAAGTTTGGTCTGGATAATGGCTCTGTCTCAAACTTTGATGCTGCATTTGTACTTGCAACCATGCTTACATCACAGCTACATGAAGGCAATCCCTCTGAACCTGTACAAGCAGCTACAACTGTACATAACCAAGCAGGAACTGAAGCACAACAAGAGAAGTTCAGGGCAAATGTTTCTGAGCATACATCTGATCACACCAGAATATGGTCTGACCTCTCAGGTAACTAAATATTCACCATCGAGATTTTGATGCCTTGCTCTTGCAAAACCTCATGCGTTAAGATCATTCACAGGAAGTGCAGCAAGAGGCGGTAATGGGGTTGAAGGAAGGCCGGTTCAAATACAGCAGAACTTAAATGTTAGTGAACAGAGGGATATTCAAAGGATTAGCATAATGCAGATTACAAAAGATGCTACGATTAGAGAGAATGTTCCTGCTGCTCCTATTTCGTATCCTGAATATTGCTGTTAACATTCTGAATCTCTTTTTAAGCCTAGTTGCTAAGTCCTGTTATTTGCGAATTCAGGCTTGTATTTTACCTGAGTTTTCTTAACTGTCTGCAGTACCGGCGGCCAAGTTGAAAAGGACCACAAGGCGGGTGCACAAGGTTAATCAGAAGATTAGTTACTTGTACTCTAATGTTTTAATCACTTCTGCAATAATTGGAAAAGCTCCCACCCCCGTTTGTTGTGCTTCAGATAGGAGCCAGGTTAATGTGTATGGGTTGTCACAACGTCATCCGAGTAATTGGGTCAATGCAAATGAGGAGGATGGGGATGATGAGAACGAACTCTGCGTTCAGTCGACACCGCCATATTACGAATAACAGTAACATCAGTTAATGACATGTCTCTTCCTCTTATTGATAGGCGTTGCCTGTTTGATTTCTGTCTCTTTTTTTAGCCATATCCTTCTTTCTGATTGGTAGCTCAGTTAATGACATGACACTCAGCTTTCGTGCTTGAACTAATTTTGGTAGCTCTACCTTTGGTATCATTTAACATGGAAGGATCTATAATATTTGATTGTTTATAGGTTTGCAGGGTGTGAAACGAATCACAACTCACAAGCTTCGTGCTCGTATAAAAAGCTTGTTGGTAAGTCAAATATTTGGTGACATGGATTCCTTTGGTTTGGTAGTCCTTTTTTTTTGTGGTCATTGTATTAAGGGTATGTTCTTCGTGGTTTTTGAAAAGTGCGGTCACTCGGAATAACTGTCATGCTTTCGTTGCTTTTACTTGGATTGCCTATATCATGTCCATTAAACAACTTTCTCGGCTTCTCCTGAAAAGCTGACGGTACAGACTTCTTTAGAAATCCCACCATTGGGAAATGCTTGAATGTTTCTCAAGTTTTTTGCTACTAATACTTGGAGTGGTTATTCAATTCAGTACGAGTAGGTTGGTGAATTTTTTTCATTATAAATGTTATATATATTTATTTTTGATTTTTTTAAAAAATATATACAAAAGGAGCCCAAGAAGTGATTATAGTTGTGATCTGAATTCGAACGTTATTATTTCTAAAGCGTGCTAGTATTTTCAAGCAACAAAAAAGACGTATTCTAATATGTTTGGCATAATTGGGTAAACATCTTTTAGTTTTACACTGATTTAGGATCTTTGGATGAATGAAAATCGATAGTTGAGATTAACAGTAGGAAATGAGAAGATATTCACTAGAAAAAAATAAGTTAATCTGAGTTATTTATTTTCATTTATCCAACAGTTTTAAAATTGTGTAAAATCAAAAGAGTTTAAAACAATGTAAGTGGATCTTAACTATAGTGAGATATGAGTATACAATGTAAAATTAAATAGTTTTACACAGTTAGATCTTTAGATGAGTGAAAATATATGATTGATATTAACATAAGAAAGGATAATATATTCACTGGAAAAAAATATAATCTCAATTGTCTATTATCACTCATCTAATTGTCTTAAATTTTTGTAGAACTAAAAAAGAAGTTATATTGTATAAATGGATCTATTGAATTGATAATTTTTTGTTATCAATTTATTAAAGATTAAATGAATTAATTGCAAAAAAAATGTTTCTGCTATGATCTATTTTAAATTGAGGATAGTGTTAAATTGATTTTTTTATAAAAATTTTATATTAATTTTTTAATTATGGTTTTTATTTTAAATTAATTTAAAATATTCTATATTAATTTTCATAATTTGTATGATTTTTATTTTGTCTATTTTGTTAATGTATCATTAATTTGATTCCATTAGACTTTTTTATTTTTTTGGCGATCCGGATTTAGACATCATTGTCTTTAAGGTTTATTAGAATTTATTCAATAAAATTTAGCAAATATTATAATAGAATCATAATGCATGTATCTTGTAAACGTAATTGCTTGAACTAAAATCATAGAGACTATTTGATGGGTTTAATATATATATATAAAAGATTTAGTTTAATATTTATACAATTTAGTATACACGACATATACAATTGTTTAAGATTTGGAGCACCGAATTGAGGATTTTGCATTTTCTGGGTACTGATTCCAGGATCTTGGAAATCTAAAGATAGGGTCCAGAAGATTCAGTTTTAAAAAAATGTAATAAACAGAAAAATATTGGTTTTATTAGTATATAAGAAAAAAGATTGAGAAGAGATTTCTGATATTTTTATTCGTTTTAACTATTCAGAGTTAAAAGGCTAAATTTCTTCAGTATTTTCATGGCTTAGGGAGAGATTTCTGATATCCATCTGGGCATGGTATTTTCATTAAAAGATTTCTCCTTTTTCTCGTGTTTTATTTGTTTTTAAATTTCTTTAAAAATTGATTTTTGTTTTTAATTGAACTTTATTATAATTAATAAAAAATATATATTATTAAATCATTCATACAACAAACATCATATATTTATAAGAATAAAAATATACTTTAAGAAAATTAAAACCATACTTAACAATAATAATAATGTTAATAAACAGCATGTTTAACTGCCATTTATACAGATAGGCGTAGCCATTCAGTTATAAGTGCCAACGTAGCCACTTTGTCCACTTCCCGTTCAATTTTCAACTGGAAAAAATAAAATAAAATTACATATAAAGCCACCGAACACAAGCAGCGGAGAAGAAAGCAAAGAAACAGTCATAGCTGCCAGTGCTCATTGTAGCAACTAAGAAAAAAAATCCAGCAACTAAAACAGAGTGAGATCTTCAAATTTGCAAATGGAAGCACTCAATTGCAAGCTTCTTTTGATCTGCGCGACGCTCATAGCGGCGGCGGTGGAAATAACCGTCGATGCGAGTGGGGACCACCACCAACACCAGACCCTGGAGTGGATACCCAACAGATCGCAATGCAAGGGCTCCGTAGACGAATGCTTAGCCGATGAAGAGTTCGACCTGGACTCCGAGAGCAGCCGGCGAATATTAGCAACCACAAGGTACATCAGCTACGGCGCGCTGCAGAGGAACACCGTGCCTTGCTCCCGGCGCGGTGCTTCCTACTACAATTGCCAGCCCGGAGCTCAGGCTAACCCTTACAACCGTGGCTGCAGCCGTATTACAAGGTGCAGGGGCTGAGCTCCTTTTTTTCTTCTAATTTTAATTTTTTCACCTTTTTTTAACATCATTTTCGATGAATGAGCGTTTGATTGATATAGATGAAGAAAATGGAAGAGTTCATTGGTGGGTAGTGAATCTGGTGACGGGTCTTTCTTGTTATTGATGAAAATATTGTTATCATAATTTTATTTTAATTTTGCATATCTCTGAAAAAGATTATTGTTACTCTTATACCTGCTATCTTTTGCTCACAGGATCTCTTAGCTTCTATTTTATTTTGTTTCAATTTAATCCTAAAATATACATATTTTCTAGTTTGATTCAATATATGTCTTCAATATGGGATTTTGACCACTAAATTGAGATTAATTTAGGGTTTATACCTTTAAAGTTCTTAAACTCCAATAATGGTTTTTTAGAAAAATTTGAGAGAGGATGAAAATGTTTTCTCTCTCCAACCGTGGTTTAAGTGATAAGGATGCAAAACCCTCTCCAAAGGGGTTCCTTAATTCTTTAATCTAATTTTTGTCAATTTGGACGAACTAAGCGACTTCGGTAATAAAATAATTTTGTTCTTTCTTGAGGTTCATGTTCGAGTTCCATTAATACCAAGGGTGTGAGCATTCAATATAAAATGGTTGAGAGTTATCTTTAAACATATTATGCATTATATTTACCCCAGATTAATAAAAAAAAATTAAGTTCCGTCAATTTATCTAATTTCCAACATTAGAAAATTAGAGTAATTAGGACTAAAATAAAAAAAAAATCGAAACCTATATGCTTATTCATCATAATTCACTAATTCTAATCAATGGTTTAATGATGTAATCAGTCCTTTCATTTCTTCTTTATTTTCACTTAGGCTAAAAAATTTCAATGTTTATAATTTATTCCCCAAACTTTCATTCCTTATGATTTAGTCTATAACCGAAAATCGAATCAAATCATATTTCAATCAAATTGAATTATTTTTATCAAACACACATTTAAAGGCTTAAAATAATAAAATAAACTTTCAAAAGTTATTTTCCGATCATCGAGCATAAAAAAAAATTGAACTAATTTTTCAAAAATTATTATTTTACTTAAAGTTTAAATAAAATATTAAGCTTAAAAAATAAAGTATCGAACTTTATATAAAATCAATTAAACTCTTTTAACATATTATTATTCATATGTAAACTATAATATCAACATCGTTAATATGATTAAATGTATTTTCATGAGAGAACAAAAATAATAATATAAGTTGAATATAATAATTAAAATATTTTATAAAATTATTAAAATAATATATATTATTAATGACTCCCTACGAAACATTTTAACGATGCTTTATAAATTCATTCAAAACAACCGTAGGTTCGAGAAGTTCATGCTCCATCCGTGACACCCAAATCTACGGTCTAGGTTAGTTTTATATGACGTCATTTTTCTTCGCATGTTTATAACTTACTTAGCCCTTAAGGATCCTTCAAAATACAAACGCCTCGGCGTTGACTGCTGTCAGCAACCGCACCTCCCCCAACAAAACCGACACGCTTACTTCACCGCTTTTTCATATCCACCGCCCATCTTCACCTGCCCTATAAAACCAGCCCTTTTTCCACTTTAATTCTCTCACAAATTCAACGCCGAAAAAACCTACAAATCCTTTGAAACTCTGCCCCAAATTCTTATCCGAAAGGAAAAAGCTATAGTTCCTTAGTGTTTTCATGGCTCAAGGAGCAATACCGATATCCAGCAGGAAATGGTATTTTCATTATAAGATTTCTCCTTTTTCTTTTGTGTTTTATTTATTTTTGGAGTTTTGTTTTTGATTTTGATTTGAATTTTTGAAAGGCTAAAGAGGAAGAGCAAAAGAGGCTGAAATACTTGGCATTCGTGCAAGTAGCCGCCGTTCACGCCGTCTTGTCCTTCACCAGCCTTTACCTTTACGCTAAGGAAAGATCGGGACCTTTGAAGCCTGGCGTCGAGACCGTCGAGGGGACGGTTAAGAGCGTGGTCCGACCGGTTTACGATAAGTATCATGATGTACCTGTTGAGCTACTTAAATTCGTTGATACCAAGGTACTAATCTATTTGTTTCGATCAATTTATTCAAAACTCGAAATGATTCGAATTCGAATATTGAACTTGAGAAAGTATTATGATTTTATCTCTTTGTTACGCTAAGGAAAAATCGATTGTTTAGAGAAAAAAAATATAGAAAATATTTAAATTATACCAAAAAAAATTATTGAAACGACAAGAAAAATTATATAATCGATTGTTATTACAGGTTGATGAATCTGTCACCAAGCTTGATGGTCGAGTCCCTCCAGTTATCAAACAGATGTCAACCAAAGTCTTCTCCGCCGCCCAAAAGGCTCCGGCGGTGGCTCATGGCGTGGCATCCGATGTCCACCGTGACGGAGTGGTGAACACTGCCTCGGAATATGCAAAATCCGTGTACACCAAGTACGAACCCACTGCAAAAGAGCTTTATGCAAAGTATGAGCCCAAGGCTGAACAATGTGCCGTCTCGACTTGGCGTACACTCAATAAGCTCCCCCTCTTCCCTCGAGTTACCTCGGTAGTCATCCCGACGGCCGCATATTGTACGGATAAGTATAACCAGACGGTGGCTATGGGTGCGGAGAAGGGTATAAGGTGGCCTCGTATTTGCCTCTGGTTCCTACTGAGAAGATTGCCAAGGTCTTTGGTGAGCAGAAGACCGAAATGGAACCATTGGAGCCGGTGGCATCCGCAAGTTGATTTTGATTTGAATCCGTTTATATGCTTATATTTATAATCTGGATTTCTTTTATGCTTTACTAGCTGGCTTTTGTGATTGGATTCAACTGTGGATTTTTAAGTTTCATGTTTACGGCTTGGGTCATTCGTACTGTGTCTTATGTGTACTGTTTGGTATGTATCATATTTTATAAGAACTTATAATATAATTATGGTTTAATTTGTTCGTCGACAATGAGGAAGAACATTATTATTAATATTATTTTGGTTACCCTTTCGGTTCTAAGCCTTTGTCTGGTAAAATGGTTGAGATATAATGTAAAATTTCCAATATAATCCAACATTGGATTATTTATCCATCTATGGTGAATTACATAATATCAATATCAGGTGTTCTACGTGTCTTCAAGCATGAAGACTTCGTGATTGCATGACGTCTTCAGTAAATGAAGAAGATCCCACGATTATATAATATTTTAGGCAAGTAGAGAAGATCCTAGGAGTGCACGACGTTTTCAGTCTAATAAGAAGTCTTACTTCAATAAATAATATGGTGGATGTATTATATGGAAAAATTATTTTTTTCATAACCCTATATGGGCGAGGAAATCGCTTCGTCTTGATTAATCCGGATAGACTCATGTCGCACATTTAACTTTGGACATTTGATTTTGGTAGTTAAATCTCCTAACAAGGAATTTCTGCTTACACAAGTATTCGAACTCTAGATTTTATTTAAACGATATAAAATTATTTACTACTTGAATCAACTCATGTTAATAAAATAACGTTATTTTTAATCATTGAGGATAAATATGTAATATTATGATGATACAAATATTTTTAATTTACATTTAGAACTTTCGAATTTAGAAGTTTAATTGATGATAATTCAAATGAATGAGTTCAATGATTTCCTAGCTAACATATTTATATTTGGGTTTTATTCTAATTTAATCCATTTGTTGGTTTTGATTTGTTACCTTAGATAGGCCAACAAATAAATTGACAACGACAATTTGAAGGCTTTATTTCATGGTATATGCATGACAGATGAAAGATCAAAGCTTTGGGATCTTCGTTTCACTTGACACACAATGTTGATGCACTACGTTTGCCCGCTCCCTCATCGCGTCTCGTTCTCTATTGACGGCAGCGGCCGTGGCGGAGAAATCAGTACCCATTAACGAGGCCACTCCAAGGCAGGCGAGGTCGTCGAAACACTATGATCCGATAATTCGATCTGTTATAGGAACAGTTTCGTACAATGAGTAAATTATTAGTCTGTATATTAGCACAATTATTCGAATTTAATGTAATTTAAATTAATATTTTAAAATACATATGATCAAAAATCGAATGAATTCAAAATAAAATTTATTTGACAGCTCCAATTTAGTCTACTATTAACTTTTTTACTCATATATTTGATTACAAGAAAAAATATTATTAGGGATTTAAATAATGATCTATTATTAGAATAATGATTGTTATATAATAGTATTAGTGTCATTTGAAATCGTTATTATATGATCGTGATAATTGTAATTAACGCAATAGTATTTGTTATGTATGGAATCGCAATAAATGTAACGTAATCGAAAACGCGATTAATTTAAATCTATGGATGTTACCCAAAGACTAAATTCTATGTTGTTATTGTAGGTAGGTGAATCTATCAACAAGCTAAATATTGAATCCCGCTAGTCATCAAGGGGGTCTCATTTGAAGCCATCTTGACTGCCAAGAAGGCTCAAGGTGTAGCTCGTCATGTTAGAATGGTGACCACCAGGGATTTAAATAACGGTTTGTTGTTATAATAATGTATGTTATGTAGTAGTAATGATATTATCCGATGTCGTTGTTGAATAACTACAATACTCATAATCATCATAATAACATCTATTATGTCTATAATTTTGATAAACGTAACATAACTAAAAACACGATTACAATCAAGTTTAAATCCATGGACTAACCACTTGTACACCAAGTATGAACCCATACCAAAAGAGCTTTATTCAATGTATGAACCCAAAGCCGAACGATATTCCCTCTCTGCTTGGCGAAAACTAAATAAACTCCTTCTCTTCCCTCAAGTTGCTTCGATTGTGGTTCCAACTGTCACTTATTAATCTTGTGGGTGTTGGGAAATAAACGATTACAATTAATTTCCCTATAACCAGATTAGTGAGAATACGAAATAAAAGCGGAAAAATAATACCCGAAATTGATAACGGAGTTCAGCCAATTTTGCTTACGTCTCCGGACTGCTGCAGATCTTTTACTAAGAGAGAAAATTTACAGGTGTTTACAAAACACTCACTACTCACAAGAAAGCTCTCTAGTATTGGGAGAAAGAAAATGATTTTGGGATCTTGGGATGATTATGAAGCTAAATGAGCTAGGGTATTTATAGTTGAAGTTTAAGGACTAACTTGTAAATACCCTAAAATTCAAGGACTCAATTTTGTAATTATCACTTGACAATTTCAACAATTTGGTGCTGCCCAAATTGTTGAATTCTTCAGCCACCCATGTGGGAAAAAACCAGCCGCCCACTTGTTAATATTTAACAATCTCCCACTTGAAGACTGATTTTAATCTGTCTTCATATCTCGATCAATGCATCAACATTTCTGCTCTTGTTACTGTAGCATGCCAACTGAAGCTGAACACAACTTCAGTTTGTCCGTAGTCACCGCCCTGTAAACCCACTTGTTATTGGACAGTTTCTCCGTGGTTGCCTTGTCTCTCAACATCTTAGCTCCCTTCGACTCTTGTCCACTAGTCTTTGAAGGATTGTTCCTCACTTGAACATCCTCAGCAAGCCCTTGCTTCGACCCTTCTCTTAAGATGGTCTATGAAGCCATGTTCTCTACACGAACATGCTCGACAAATTCCTTGGACATGGACAACTCCTCCTACACTTGGCTTCTACTCGTCTTGGCCAAAATGAACCTTATTGAGCCAACTCTCAACGCCTGTTCGATCCTGGGTTCGTCCTCTTCTCTGGACAACTCGATCTTGGGCTCATCCATCACCTTGGATGACTCGGCTCCCCTCGGGTAATTTTGTAACACTTCTGGCATCTTAAGTCTGTGCCCCCTCGTTTTCTTGACTTTTACCCTCGGTTTAACATCTTTGACACTCAAACTTGTGCCAAGACTGCACATATTTTCACCAGATCCACCATCTGGTTCATCTTTGAGTGGACTTTCTTTGCCACTCGAGGAACAACCTTCCTCATCCTCTAACTGGCCTTTATCGCGGAATCTCTTGTTGCTACCCTCGGATTTCGGCTTTGCTTTGGAAGTCTTGTTCTTCTTGACTCCAAATTCTTTGATGGACTCTACGGTTGTCAAGGCTTCAAACAGCCCCTTGATTTCCCTTCGCTCCAACACTTTCTTTTCCCATGGCTTCAATCCGAACATGAAGGTGAAGAATCCATCTTCTTCAGTCAAACTTGGGACTTTGAGCATGAGTTTTCTGAATCGACTCACATACTCCTTAAGTGTCCCTTTATGCCTAAGACGTCTTAACTTGGACCACACCTCCATCCTGGTATACTGTGAGCGGACTTGCTCACATTGCACCCTCGGCTTGACAACTTTATCTCTTACTATCGCACCGATTCCCTTTTTGTGCTTGACTGTTTTGACACCTGCAGTCTCGTCACGTCTCGATCCTGGATTGACTACTTGAGAACTTGTAGTCGTACCATGTCTTATTCCTTGCTTGGCCGCATTGATCCCCTCAATCGGGCCAAGTCTTTTTCCTGGCTTGGTAGCTTTAACATTTGCGACCGCGCCAATTCCCGCTACTTCTCCTTTTTCCATCTTCTTCATGATGGCTGTAAGGCTACGCTTCTCAGGACATCCTCTAATCAAATGAGGATCATCACAGAAGTAGCACTTTAACTTTTCTTTGCTCACCTTCTTCTTCGCACCGACTTCGCCTTGCCATTCTTTCCTAATGGCTTTCCTTGGCTACGAACAGTTGTTGGCTCACTATGGCCATTCAAAGAGCTTTCTCTACCATCTCTCTGCTGCACCTTTTCTCGGTCTGCAACACTGTTGCCACTATCTCTGGGCATGGGCCTGTACGACACATCGCTACTTGGCTTGTCACCTGCAAGCTTAGTCAGCTTTCCGGGTACAACTATGGCCTCCAAAAGTCTCTGGGCATTAGCTCGCTCTCCCCCGAGCATTGCCCCTGGTCTAAGTCCTTCCAAGAAGGTCTTGAGCGCATCCCATTCACTCATTGCTCCCTTGAATCTGAGCAGCTCCCTCTTGAGCTCATCAACTTCGTTTCTCAAAGTCATCACTCTCACTCGAATCTGGCTTCTTTTGGATCATTTTTGATAATTCTTAGGAACTGCCGTGTATTAGAACACCTCCGTCGACAAATTCGTATCGCCGACCAAATTTCACTATTCACAAAATTAACTATTCATGTAAATAGTAACCTCACAGAAAAATTGACAAAATTTACAACCAAAAGCTCTGATACCAGTTATTGGAAAATAAACGAGTACATGTAATTTTCCTATAATCAAATTAGTGAGAATGCGAAATAAAAGCGGAAAAATAATACCGAAATTGATAACGGAGTTTATCCAATTTTGCTTACGTCTCCGGACTGCTGTAGATCTTTTACTAAGAGAGAAAATTTACAGGTGTTTACAAAACACTCACTACTCACAAGAAAGCTCTCTAGTATTGGGAGAAAGAAAATGATTTTGGGATCTTGGGATGATTATGAAGCTAAATGAGTTAGGGTATTTATAGTTAAAGTTTAAGGACTAACTTGTAAATACCCTAAAATTTAAGGACTCAATTTTATAATTATCACTTGACAATGTCAACAATTTGGTGCTGCCCAAATTGTTGAATTCTTCAGCCACCCATGTGGGAAAAAAATCAGCCGCCCCACTTGTTAATATTCAACAGTGGGGTTATAATAGAGAATTCTTTAGTTTTAATAATGGACATGAATAAAACGGTTTCGATAGTGAAAGAAATGTTATTATTTCTTGAGCTTCTGGATTAAAACACCATGAATATCAGGAGTGTAAACATTTAAATATCAAATGATTGAAAATTATATTTGAATATATACTGTTTTGTATTTACTTCTCATCAATGAAAAAAAGTAATATTAATGATTGAAAAAAACTATTATAAATAAAAAGATTTTTATGTAAAAAAAATAACAATT